TGTTGGGTCTGTTGTGCTGTTGGATTTTGCTTGGCTGTTGGATTTTGTTGGGTCTGCTGTGCTGTTGTGCTGTTGGGTCTGTTGTGCTGTTGGGTCTTATTGGATTTTGCTTGGCTGTTGGATTCTGTCGGGTCTGTTGTGCTGTTGCCTGTTGGGTCTGTTGTGCTGTTGGATTTTGCTGGGCTGTTGGATTTTGTTGGGTTTGTTGTGCTGTTGGGAAAATTTTGGCGACGGGTGGGATGAAGGGGGAGGTCAACAGGGGTTTTTCTGAAAACAAAACGGCCAAAAATTTTCCCAAACACTAGTTTGAGGGGGAGGGGTGAAAATAATTTTCGACCTCAATTTTTTACACACCGCAATGTTCTGGTCCTTGACAACCTAACATGAAGTATTAAGTTTTAGGCATTGTCATGAGATTTTGGAATAACTAATTAGCGTTGGGTTTTGTTGGGCCAACTGAAAACCCAACGAAAATACGCTTTTCATAAATCGCGACAGGTATATTTGGATAAGAAAAATTTTTCCGGAATAACAATGGAAAAGTAAATACCACTTATTGATAGAAGAGTTAAAGCTATATGACCATTAATATTTTTTAAAGCAATTTCATATGTTGCCAAGAAAATTTGAAGAGCTGTTTTACTCTTCAATTCTTGTAAATTCTCCCCCGAATTCTCCAAGAAAGCTCCTGAATTATCCTCCATTTTGTAAATTTTATGCAGGTATTATTTAATTATTTTAATTTATGTGAGACAATAAGGCATTTTGATTGGTCACCAGATTTAATCCGCGCGACCGGACCAACAAAAGTTGAAAATATTTCAACTTTTTATTATCTGGCCAGCAACGTCGCCGGATCAATCGGAACCTAAAATTTATACTGATGGCGCATGAGCGGATTTTGTTTTGTTCCGATCTGGTCCGATCCGCTGCTTATTTTCCGGAGTGGAAATTAGCCTTATGAAATGGGCCCCATATATGATTTCTAAACTGATTAAATGATTCTCCCATTATGCTTTGCAAGCTTAGGGTTTATGGTTTAGAGTTTAAAAAGGACATTGGCAATACAGAAATTAGTTTGTCTCATTCCAAAGAACTCTTAAAATTATATATTAAACTCTATTACCGATTTGTCATATATTGCTTAGTTAGTTCTTGAAATATTTAGACCGAAATTAGCCTAATGAGCTGTCTGCCATCTTGGACTAATTCTTTACCTCATTAACTATGGTTTTGATGACGTCAGGAGATGAGTTAACCATATAAAACTACTCTAAAATGACCGAGTAACAATCCAAAATTGTTTGAAATATTTTTAATCATTTTTAAATTTCAGACGGCAACCAGAAAAGAAGTTTGGACCCATACTGATCGCTTACTCTCAAGATAAAAAATAAGAGTGGCCCCTTTCTTGACGTAACATGCTTATCCTCAACAATCCAATTAAGCTCACTTTTTAGTCGAAATATTTTGAAAACTAAGCAAGATATAAACAATCTGTAATAGAGTTTAATACATAGTTTTAAGAGTTCTTTCAAATAAACTAAACTCATTTTTCAAAAAAGGACATCTTTTTTGAATTAGCTGTATACACAAGGTTCTTTAACACTCCACGTTGGCTTAAATAGGATATGTCGTGCGCCGTAGACCCTCGCTTTGTGTAAGTTCTGTTCTGGCAGGCATTTAAACATTCTCTAAAGCTCCAGATCTGGAACATATTTTTTTGACTCCTGTACAGCCGGAATTTGCCTGCCAGCAAAATGTAAACAGGTCAAGGGTTTTATTTTACATGACCGAGAAAGTGCAGTATCTTTTAAATACACTGTCTGACTGTCCCAAACCAAAGGAAAATTGTAAAATAACAATAAAAATAATAAGACGCGCTTCCCCGCTCATATTAACAGCAATAACATGTCCAGGGCTAAAATCTTTAGCAATTAACTGGTTTGAATGGAAACTATATGTCTATAACTACTCGGCTCAGTGATATCAAGTTGTCCGATATCGTATGTTATTTATGAACTCATGTGTATCATGACTGACCATGAACAATATGAGCGATTGGCATGAGTTGTAAAACCTGATCGTCCTGTTCGGGTCGGTTATTTTGTACATTGTAGCTACATGGTCACGTTTGATAATTATTTTGCAGTTGCTATGTTTGATTTACATGCATTTTCTAAACCGGTTGATGCGCAGGGCATGAGCTTGAAGAGTTTGTTTCGGCTATTAGTGCAGATTATTTATATAAGCACTTACAACAAGTTGTGATTTTGTAGCCAAGTTTCAATACGAGGATGTTTCTGTTTCATCTTTTAGCCATGTGCATGTAACTAGTTTAAAAAGATTGTGCAGGTTCAAACCCATTCAACCAGAGACGAAACTTGAGGGGAGGTGTGGGGGGTGACCCCACCCCCCCCAAAGTACAAATCATCTGGATTGGCAGGGGAAAATCATCTGGATTGGCAGGGCAATGAAAGATTTTAAATTATAGAATGTAGAGTTATTAAGTAGCTTCCAGGGCTTCCAGAGGGAATTGAATAGAATTTATCGACGTAAATTTTACAGATATTGGTAAAAAAATAAGGGTTTCATGCATGTTTTAACAGGAATTTGTCCGAAAAATTTTTTTTGACCCTTAATTTAATTGGTGTGTGTGCGGAAAAATTTTTTCGCCCCTTTGTTAAATGTCCGGAAAAGAATTTTTCGACCTCCCCCCCTGCTCGCCAACACTTTTGGGAGAAATAGTGGCCAAAAAATGTTTTGCTGCAGGACATCATCGGCTTTCGCAGGGCAATTCTAGCAGACTCCCCCCCCCAATTAAAAGGGGCTAGTTTTGCCCCTGCATTCAACCTCCATTACTGCATTTCAACATGGCTGCTGGTCATGTTTCGGCGAGCTCCTCAGATAATCTCAATTTTCTTGTAACGTGTGTGGATACGAATACGATAAAATCACTTAAGGATAAAGCTCACTTGATATATGAAGGAAATCGAATAAAGTGGACGCAGGACCTTGATTCACTCAAGTATTTTATCGAAAATATCGTTGGCCTTAACGGTAGGAGGAGATCACCTGGCGGTAAATCTAAGCAGTTTAACAGTACAAACGCCGATTTAAGTATGACTTGGTACCACGGGAAACAAAATTCACTGTTATTTCAAGGAAAGGACGGCATAGTACTTAAGGATGTTGTAGTAACAATGTTAGAAGAACCAAACATTGGCAGTCCTAATTCAAATGCAAAGTTTTCGACCCAGCGGCTGATCCAGTTGCCGAACCTTGTGAAAAGCTGTGTGAAATCGTTGCAGATACTAAGGCTGCAATTGAGCCAGAGCTATATGTATCTAGTCATCGTGATTGTAACCCATGTGGAAATGACATTAAAAACGTCAAGCTACACATTGAAGATTTGCAGAAACAAATTAGTTCTATTAACAATGTTATTGATTCTACAAATGGCATTATAGAGTCAATCAGTGAAATTTTGCTTCCCGGTGATGGCGGTGGTCTGACTCGTGATCACAGAACTGATGCTACGGTAAATGAGCTGTTTAAAATCATTGATGAGAAGAATAAAGTAATTATGGATCGTGATAATACTATTAGGGAATTTAGAACTAAATTATTAGAGGCCGAAAGTGAGAGAGACTCACTAAAACAACAAAAATACTCCGCATTAGATACGCAAGATACGTCCCAATGTAATGACACAATAGAAAACCAACAAAGCCTGTCGTCAAAAACAATACCTATTGATGAGAATACGGGTACAAGGCACGAGAATAACACTGATATTAGGCTGAATAATGGTAAATCTTATGTCTCTGACTCTAACTCGGCTTTGCAAAATATCCCAGTGCCTGCTATAATAACCCTGAAGACCCTTACGTCCATGTCTCTTGCGTTATCAAAAAATAATCCAGAAAATTGGTTAGGAAGGCTGCCTCTCTTAGAGGGAAAGCACAAGGCATCTTGTACTCTCAAATTTGCTAAGCAAAATATTTCACAAACATTTACCATGAAGACAACAGATGCTAGAATGACGGCGAATGCCATCAACACCCCAAAACAACCTATGTCAAAAAATACTAAGCATAAATGTTTCCCAGTAGATTGGATGGAGAGGTTGCCTCTCATAGAAGGAAAACCTAAATTGCAACCAGTTCAGCGACCAAATAATATCAGCTGCCCAGAATCGTATAAGAATGATAATTATTTTTTAAAGCTCAATTGGAAAAAACGGACACGTTTAACAGGAAGTCGCTGTCACAAGCAGGACTGGATCAATCATCTGAAGCTTGTCCATCGCACTATGAAACGATAAAAATGCCGATTCCGACAAGAATTACTCATCGACAACAACAATTTTCTAAAACCGCGAGCAGCACTCCCCACATTAATACGCTTTATTCTGATAGAAGAAAGTCCCATGAGCCTACGAACTGTATCAAGGTATCTACCGATATAAAGACGAATAAACAGACTGTTCCTTCATTATTTTTAACTAATGCTTGTCACATTCTGAATAAAATGGATGAGCTCAGCTCAGTTGCGGAAATTAATGATCCTGACCTTAGATGTATTTCTGAGACCTGGCTAGATCCCAGCATATACGATGGAGTTATATCTATTGGATCTAACTATACTCCGTACCGAAAAGATAGAGGAACACCTGGCGGCGGTTTAATTACTTATGTTAAAACTGTAATACCTTCTAGCCGCTTGTTTGACATGGAAGAGGAAGGCAAAGAGGCTCTGTGGCTATTGTTGAAACCACAAAGACTTCTAAGGCCTTTCAGTTGCATTGTTATGGTTGCAGTCTATTATCCCGCAGGTCAAGCAGCTATAAATGAGATAACTATGATTGATTATCTTATTAATGGAATCGACTTTATTCTACAAAACTATCCTTCTGCTGGAATTATAATCGCTGGAGACTTTCACAAAATGAAATTAGGAACATTATGTAATTGTTTGATTTGAGGAAAATTGTTAAGAAACCAACTCGCCAGAACAATACTTTGAATCCAAAACATCGGACGAGTACACGCCCAATAACTAAAACATTTCGATCGATGAAACGTTCAAACTTAATAGCTCTCGAGCTGAGACTAAGCAGAACTGTCTGGGATGCAGTACACGAAGCAGAAGACGTAGATGACAAAGTCTCGATTTTCAATGGAGTTATTAGTCAAGCTCTAGACGGATGTATGCCTCTGAAATCCATACGCCTACATCCCACGGATAAACCTTGGATGACTCCGAACATTAAAGCAAAGATTAAGCTTAGACAACGGGCTTTTACTCGTGGCAACATGTCCCAGTATAATCTGGTAGGTGCGCAGGTAGAAGATATGATTAGGAAAGCCAAATCAAATTACTATCAAAAGAAAGCTAAAACATTCCGCCCATCTGACCCTGCCAAATGGTACAAAGCATGCAATTTATAATCTGTTCGGAGTAAGTAGTCAGCATGAAGGCCTAACAGTAAACTCCATGGGTAGCGAGGCCGCTTTAGCAGAAAAATTTCAAATATCCTTTACTGAACCATGGAAAGACCTAATTACAACAAGTATTCCCCAACTAGATGAAGTTGAGTCACTTCTCAAAAACTATCCTCCCCCTCTACCTAGTATTGGCCAGATTAAGAGCGTCCTAAATCACCTTAACCATTCGAAAGCAACGGGAGCCGATGGTGTTCCAGCATGGTTACTTAAACGATTCTCTAGCGTTCTAGCGCCGATTGTTCATAACATCATTACGGCTAGCATTAAACAGTGTAACTATCCAAGTCATTACAAACATGGCCTGGTCACACCTATGCCTAAAGCATACCCACCAACTGACGTTAGTAACGATTTTAGACAAATCTCTGTTTTGCCACATATTGGGAAAATCCTAGAGAGAGTACAACTACAACTCCATCAAAATGACATCATACTACGTCCCAGTCAACATGGTTTTACTAGTGGCCGCTCTACTACATCGGCTCTGATGTCCATCACACAAACAGGTGGGCAATTTGTCTGAGCATGCGCGAAGAAAGTCAATATGGCGACATATATTTAGGAGTGTTTCGACAGTTTCGTGGCTTTATCTGGTTTTAAAGCTGATAAAACAACATTTTAATGAACGAAAACTTTGTACTATTTAGTGGAAAACATTAAGCTGTACAGTCCAAAGATTTAAAATTAAAAATAAGTACTTTTGCTTTATTTTATTGCTTTTTATGCTTTGAAAACAAGCAAGCTCGTTTTTTAGAAAAATTCTAATCTACTATTTTACCCATCAGTTGTCTAATCTAAATTTATCATCTAATGCCATGAATAAATCTTAGATACTACAGGCATATAGTGAGCACAACACTTTAACAAACTCACTAAAATAAGTTAAGTTATGCTATGATAAGAGGATGGCAATATATGACAACATCAAATGTCACCATATTCAGTGTCCAAAAAAAGTGCCGCGCGCATTTTTCGTGGTCGCATAACTGGTATTGCCACAAACCCAGGTAAAAAAGCAATTAGAAAGACCTGGTTTTGGATGATGAGCATAGTCAAATTCTTGACTTATTCAACTTTCTAAGTTTTTCCAGGTAAACAGATTCACCATTGAAATAAGCCCCATTCGGGACCTCATAGAATCCAAAATATTTTGTATGGACCAGATTTTTTTCAATTTTCTGTGATTTACATGACACTAGTTATAATTTAGGGGTCAACCAGTATTGTTCAAGACATATTTTCCTTCCAGAACACCTTTTCAAAATACTAACCCAAACATTTCAAAAATAGTGTATATTTACAAGGGTAATTTCAACCATTTGGCACATTTTTCCCATTAATGATTTTAATTCTAATAAAAAGACTATAGATAAAACTTTGAATTAAAGCCAGTTTCAAGTGATGAGCATACCCTAATTTTTAAGCTATACCTCAAAGAAGATAGGTCATTTCAACATAAACATTGAGATATGGGTATACTAACAGCTCTGTCACACTTGTAGTTTGGCATTAACAGCCCTTCTGAAACATTTTAATGAAAATATAATTCACAAAATTCACATTTTCACTTACTTCTTAACATCTGTTTTAATCCAACTAGCTCTGTAGGCACGAGCAAAATTTAGCATTGATGTAAATATCCATTTAGTTCATGTTTCCCCGGTGAAAATATAGTCTATTCCAAAGCTGGATTTTGACGTACTTTAGCTTTTCAGAAACCGTTGACCTTCCTCAGTAAGATTATCAACTGTTTCACAAACATATTTGATAGTAAACAGCTAAAATATTCTCTGAAAGTCTATATTTTTCACTCCTCGACGCGAAAATGGCAACTCGAGAAGAAATGAGCCGCTATTTTTGGTCAGCGTCGACAAATTGCCCACCTGTTCATCACACAGCCATGGTTTAATGCTACTGACAATACCTGCCGTGACAAAGCAGGCATGCATGCCCTCTTTATCGACTTTATAAAAGCCTTTGATCTAGTTGATCATGCGGGGATCCTGTTGAATAAACTTGCATTGATGAATGTTAATAAAAGCTTCTGGTCGTGGGTCAAAAGCTTCTTATCTGGTAGAACTCAGCAGGTCAAGATAAATCAAACACTTTCATCGATCGAGGGTTTCCCAGCTGGAGTACCGCAAGGATCTGCTCTTTCGCCGACTTTATTTAATATCCACATTGACGTCTTAGATACGAGTGTTCCTGACGATATTTAGGTGAGCACATATAAATATGCCGATGACTGCACACAAAGCGAATGCATCATGAAGGGAGAGTGTAACAACATGCAGAAAGTCTTAGACTCCGTTCAGAACTGGTCAAACGCTAATAGAATGAAGTTGAACGCAATGAAAACGAAAGATATGTGGATTTGGTTTGGGAAATCTATCCCACAGCCTCCCAATCTTTATACCGGGGATGTTATGATCGAAAGAGTTAATTCATTCAAGTTACTTGGTGTTAGCTGACAAAGTAACATGAAATGGAATTCTCACATCAAAGAAATTACTTGTAAGGGAAACAGGAGACTGTGTCATCTAAGGCAGTGCAGGAAGGCTCACCTTCCTACTGAAGTAGGATTGGTAACTTACTGCACCAAAATTCGTCCACTGCTTGAATATGCCGCACAGGTTTGGGGTGGCCTACTTCACTCTTTAGTGAACGACCTTGAGCGTATTCAAAGGAGAAGCTCACGTATTATTGGTTTACCGGTCCATACACTTCCCCCGCTTAGTGAGAGAAAAGATAAGCTAACTCTTCGAGAAATGGAGGCAATTACTCAGGACGTAAACCATCCCTGTCACCACCTTGTCCCTATCGCACAGAAGCATGACTATTCCACTAGAACTAAAGAAAGAGGTTCTAATGTAGGTCGCATTATTTCCAGAACCGAAAGACATAAATCATCGTTTATGCCTCGTGCAGTTAAACTTTTTAATAATAAACTTTAAATTACTACTGTAATAGACGGTTCTGTAATTTTAGGCTGAATGTAGGTTGCATTATTCTCTGAACTGAATGACATAATCGTCGTCTGTGCCTTTGGCAACTGAACCTTTTTAAAAATGCAAATTTTTATTGTA